ACCGGACAAGCTGGCAGTCTTCGTCGGTCGTGAAGTTGGAGCCACGGACGGCCTTGGCTGATTCCATTTTCTGAACCAACTGATTATTGACTCCATAACGCACATGATTGGACAAAATTATCCATTGATAGCATGTTATTGGCTAATTCGTCAAAACTGTATTTTACAGTCGCGACTGTAAATCTGGCCGATTTGGCATCTCGCGGTAAAATTTTACAGTTTCCTGTATTTTACAGTCGCCCGGTGGGGTTGTCAAAACTGTATATAATCCGGATAGAACTGTATAATAGCGTTTACAGTCGCATCGGTGGGGATGCTCTAAGAGGCATATTTTGGAGTCGCTGCCGGGAAATGGAAGCAGCTCGGCACTGAGGAATGGTTTCGACATCTGAAAACTGATCATTCAAGGAGAAACACAGGTCTTTCCACGTAATATTAATAGTAGCATTGGAATATCGATTTACAAAGCATTTATTTATCATATCCAAATCCCCATTTTCCAAGCAAAACACCTAAAAAATAGGGGACAATTTAAGGGACATACCGGTATTGTAAGGGCGTTGGGGTTGGACGAGTTACAGTCCGTTATAGAGCAATTTCTCGATTTAAAGAGTACCACAATTCTTTTGACTCGAAGTACTGTTTCGATGAGGGAAATATGGCATCCGGATACACTGTACTACCCCCGTCCAGTGATACTAAATCTCCGGGGCTAACCACTGAGATGCACTTAACCCCTAGTAAGAGGTGAGGTTGTCAGAGTGTACTAACTGTAAATCCGATATAAACGAAAATTTCTGACGAAATAAATATGTAGTGGAAGTTTTTTAATCGGGGAATTGTAGTCCGTTATACTAGTATTATGTACCGGTTGTACTACAGTAGTACTACGTAGTATCGGAGTACTACTAGTACTAATACTTAGTACAGTACTAGAGGTGAAAGTAACGTTAACACGTTGCTCGAAACTACTACAAGTAGTATGAGTCTACTGTACTACACTGTAGTACTGGTGAAGTGAGGCAAGAACGTGATCAGATGACCAAAATACTATTCTGGACCCCCATGAACGTGCCTTGTTCCACATCCCGACGGTTTGATGTACGCCTCTTAATATTTGATAGTAGCGGCGAGGAAGACGAACCATTTGAAGTGCTTTTACGACATACTATTAATAGTAATATTCGTTCACATGGTTTCGAGTCCACTGGAATTCTCGGGGGGTAATCGTCCAACACACGTACAATTCCCTCATTACACAGTATCACTGTTGCTTTTCTCAGAAAATGCAGCAATTTGCGTGTTTATATTGGACTTAGTAAAGTACATGACCACCTGACCTCTTAATAGGGGTTAACTGCATCCCTGGTCGTTAGCTAACGCTAACCACTGAGATGCGCTTTAACCCCGGGGATTTAGCACCGTATGTACTCATCGGGGGTATCGGGGGTAGGACCAACTCCCAGGTTACAGGGCGAAATAGTGTATTCGGATGTGATAATTCTCTCATTGAAGCTAACTGTGGAACTGCTTTGATGAGGGAATTATAACTACGTAGTATCCAACATACAAAACATTCGTCACGTGGGGGCAAAGTGGGCAACCGGCTAGAGTGCCCTGTCGCATGACTTCCTTGTCTATAAATTCTATGGATTCATTGTAGGCCATTGCAAGCCATTGCATCACCATTGTATCCATCACGGCAGCCGAAGTACGGGTCTCTTGTAAACAATCTTTCATGCAGGCGGAATACGCTCAATAGAATTGCATGCGCCAAATTTATTGGGGTATAGTCTCAATATGATATTATTTAATTTCTCGGCGGTGGCTGGTGTCGTACTTTTGACTTGACGTACAATTTGGTTCATATACCGGTATATACTCGTGAGGTGATTGTATTTGATTGAATTCCAAGGTTTGAAAACAAGCGACAAGCATCCGAACGCCACCGAACAAAATGCGCTTTGGGTGACCCTGATGACCATGCTACTTGTGCCTCCATATGATAAATATTTCAGTCAACCCCTTCATGTGAATGACTGCCAATGTGGAAAAAATGCACAACCAAGTACTATGGAAGCATACACTGTATAAAACACTCGCAATCAATCGAATGGCGTGTTCATATATACTGTATGCGGCATCAAGGAACAAGTAAACGCCCTACCAACCGTCGACAGATCCAAGCAACCATAAGCCAATCCCATTATCCGACGCCCTACATACTGTATATCGTGCTATGCCACGATTGAACTTGTGTACCCGCCCCCTCTCCATCCCCCTTCACCCCCTCTACTTCTTGGTCTTTCTGCATTGGATCTGATTTGTTATTCCCCTCGGGGGCAACTGTATAATAAGTTCGTTGATCGTTTCGGTTCCACCAAAACAATTGCTGGGCTTGGAATGACGTTCACAGGGTTGCATGTTCCACACCAAAATTCCCTGTACTTGTGTTGGCAATTTGCAATCTAACTTGTCCAAGCAAGTTGCCGCCCCATTCATTCCCTGCCAATGCTGAATACTACTAGTAGTACATACTAGTAGCATAGCACCAACGTTTTTGTCCACATGGTCGGGCCATCTGGTTGCACCTGCAAAGCACATGGCAAGCCGTCAACATGGAGGCAATGCGTTCGTTCCACGGCTGTGCGATCGGAAGATTGATCCAGGGTACTACAAGTTCAAGTCGTCTACCTACTACATCACCGCACAGCAAGACTTCCAAGCAACAACAACCAACCAACTATGTGTGTTCTGTACTAGTCAACAATGTACGCCTGTGTACTGTATTCCTTCGCAGTCCCTCGAGCGCCAAACAACTTGACCAGCCCAAGAAAGTGTGAGCTATACAGTACAGTACGGTACTGTACACTAGCGCATCCGCCCTTTCTCGGCGTTGGATGATCGTCCAACTGTGCCGTTCTTGACCAGCCGCCGATCACTAGTACATAGTATCAAGGGTACAGGTATCTTCATTCGAATCGTCCAATACTACAAGGCTAATAGTATTCAATCTCGTCTGCCTCCACATCACACACAACACATTATAAAACATGACGGACGTGATGCTGTGGGAACTGCTTCAGCCGCCGCCATCGCCGCTCACGATGCTGCCCACCACACCTCCACCCCCTCCTTCCTTCGTCGACCTATCGTATTGGTGCGCGGCGGTGGCTCCGCTATCCCCTTCAACCGATGGCTACGACGACCTGGACCAGTGTTTTCCAACGTTTGGAGCTCCAGACGTGGCCGACGCCGCGCCAAAGTGCGGGTACCGGACAGGCAAATGCGACTTGAGGCGGGGACTCAAACGCAACGGAACGTACCACAAGCTGTGTGATGTGCACCGCGAGAAGGCCAACTGGAACCAAAAGAAGCTAGACCGGAAGAAGCGGCAGCGCAAGGACTTGGGGCATATCCCGGCCAAAGAAGTAGGTGGCGACGGGGGTGGTCGCAACGCGTTTGTGGAGACGTTGACCTCATCCCAACATGCCACGTGGGCGGCTGAAGAGCTCGCGTTCTTTTGCCACGTCATGACTCCGCCGCCGTCACCGGTTGAATGGCCGAAAGAAACCAACGACGACGACGACGCGGCGCTGGACCTGCTATTCAAGGCAGAAGTGATGGTGCTCGTCGATCGGTGGGCTCCCAGTTGATTGTGTCGATGGGACAGATAATGGTTGTTATTTATGTGGAGGTTTGTTGTGGTTTTACCGAAACGTGTGGTTCTAAAGTACTGTGAACGTTTATGCTAGTATTGTTTATACTTGTTTACAGTAGTCGTTGAGTCATTTCAAACGACTAATAAAGTTAGGGAGCGTCTGGTAACATTTCAAAAATACGATTCCATTTTCTGGCAAAATGGGAAAAACAAAAAATGCCATTTTCAAAATAGAGGTAAAAGGTCGACCTTGTAATACTTTTGGTGCACGTTGACTATAACCTTCCAGCTGGCCAAATCTAAAGCGCAGTTTCCTCTAGTTTTCATATTACAGTAAAGCTTGATTTTTAGTATGCATACTATAATCCTTCCTCAGTTACCGACCGGTAGTACATTTCGTACAGTACGTAGTACATTGTACAGTTCATCGACACACCACACGATGTTGTGCTCGTCATACCATGCTATTACTACACACGGAGCACTTCATACTACCGGTAACGTTAGTACTAACCTAAAAAACCTGTAGATGGCCCGAAAATGGACCCCTACAATGTATGAGCATCTCCACCGGTTGGCTTTTTTACGCTTCCTCAACAAATAAGACGATTTGGACGAACTTTCAACTATGCTGCTATAGACGATTGAACGCGCTACATCATACAAGCAATCTTTGAAGGATTCGATGTATGCTTCACCAAATTATTGCTGGTCAATGTCAAAATTGTGAATTTTGAGAAGATCAGTAGGTGGCCCTAATTTAGCCTTGAATACACTATGCATCCAATCAGTGACTACACTCGTAATACTATTGTCAATATGAAACGTATTCACTAGAGTTTATATGTAATTAAATCAATTTCGTCATGAAAAGTGTTTCGGGCCATTCACTGATATCGGGCAATCTACTGGTTTTTTACGTTAGTGTGCTGAATGCCCTTTAGAATTCAAAACCATAATCTTTCCCAGTACAGTGCATCCCTCGTATTGTACGTAATACTAGAACTAGTACTTCGAAATATGTACTGGTACCGTATCATATTAGATATTTAAACCAGTAGCTGTACCTACTACACAATTTAACAGAGATAAAAACAATTTGATCCACTCACTTCGAAAGTTACATTTATTTATAACAGTCGATGCACTAACAGTAAAACACAACAACCTTGCAAATGATCAGTGATACCTCTTTGAGTTATAAGAGTATAAATTCCGAAGTGACTGAGTTACTTATGAAAACCTAAATGACTGAAAATTCACAAACTATCGTACCAAACCAAAGCAAGTTGTATTACTGTTTGTAAAAACGACTGCGGGGAGCACGACCCAAGTCCAATGCAGCTCTCTCTTGTCGGTTCAAACGATAACGGCGCTGCCTTTTCATTTGCCATCCTTTCGTAACGAGCCAAGACCATTCCATAAAAGGGTCGTCTTCAAGACGTAGGGGCATCAACGACAGGTGAAAGTTCGTCAGGGCAAACGTCGTGCATTCAATAGCACAATAATTCTTCTCCGACCACGTGAACGTCGCGTACGAGGCCTTCCACAACGCACACACCCACCCAAAATAATTCTCGACGATCATCCGATCGGACGAGATTAAGCGATTGAACTCAACGTCACTAGCATCCAATGCACGGTTCACTGGGCGGTGATTGGAATGGATCCCATGCAGAGTGTTTACAATACCAATGTACCCCATGTCAATGAGCCACGCCCATTGCTCCCGATATTGCGCAGAGAGCTCACCGTGGTCAGTCAACAACATGTCTTGCTGGTACATCGTCAGCATCGCCTTGTACACATATTGACGCGAATGCATAAATGTAAAATCGTACACGGAACCAGGGTGTTATTCCGACATTGCCACGCAACGACCGTCCAGTGACGCTGTGGCTTCGATATTGTAGCCGTATATGCGGTGCTTCCCACTGTAGTAGTGCTTCTGCTCGGAAAGCAGCCAATCGGACGAAGAGATGGGTGGAACTTGACACCACCAGCGTACAATGCGTACGGATGGTGCTCGAATTGATGTCGTAACTCGTGAAGGCTTTGCATAGATTGGGCGACAATGAAATGGTCGTACACCACATGTTGAATCACCTACATGAGCACATTAGTATAGGTATGGTAAGGAGTGATACCCCAAGGACACGCATGATGAGCTTCTCAAACGTTGGGGCCTTGTATCCAAAGTCGGCAGCATGCTTGTCCCACGAGCTGAAGTGCTTAAGACAACCAAAGTCATGAATAGGGTGTCATTTGGGCTTGTCAACGATCGTCGTCCTCGCCCTTCCATCCACGCCGAATGCATTGCCGTGTCGATGACAGACCACAAGGTCTCAAACTCACTTACAGTGTAGTTTGTTATGGTGCGAACACTGTCTGAGCCCAAGTCAGAGATGAAACGATGAAAGATAGGTTTGTTGGATACTTCGACTCTCTCAGAAACAGTATAGCGATATCACCAAACTCGTCGTACGAGGACTGAAGGAAAGATTGGTACCCGAATGGACTGTTCTTGTAAGCGGCTCAGAACGGCGTTGGCGTTGATGGGCATGTCAGTCGAGAGGAGAATTGGAAACTGGAGTTAGTGAAGTGACTAAACGAAGTCGATGACGAGGGAGTTTGTTGTATTGGTTGTGAATTTGGCGGCAAAGTTGTTGAGATGCCGAGAAGTTTACGCATTATACCTGATACAAATTAGGTTTTATCGAATCTCCTTATATAGTTAAAATTCGCCCGTCTTTACATCAAATCAACTTATCAAAGGTAATGTTTGAGTTTTACAGTGCTCAAACTATTTACCTAAAAATTGCGTTTATATTGACGCCATCAGTGCGGTGACTGTCAGAGGAGAACTTGGACTGCACTCGGCGTGCAGGTTAGGTATCGACGTGATATTTTGGGGGTGTACCTACTTTCATCGTTTAGATGCTTGGACCTAGTTTCATGAGCACACGTCAACGCAATATCGCCGAAAGCAAGGCGAGACTCAGCTATAATTTCGCATTACTAGGTAAATTGTCAGGAACACCAGTATCATAACAACTGATTGTATCATTTATATAATTTGTGAGAGTACATCAAGTCAGACATCCTGTCATTGATCAGTACATCAATCTACAACCAAGTGAAGAGTTATATTATAATTCATATACATGTAGGTTATATACAATATACCTGCATCACTGATCATGATGATACCTAATGCTCCTAAGCTCTATTGTTCCGGCAGTGTGACTTGTTTGTGGAATTCGTAAGGTGGCTGGCCTTATTTCTGATTATTAACCAGTACGACTTGGTCCTCGCCTTGTCGCAGCATAGGTAGTGGCGCCCCCCGTTGTTCTTGGCGTAATGGGCGCTCTGGTGGAAGTTTAAAATGATTTGAACCGATTGGATGTGGCGTCATGTCTGGGAGCGCATCGTAACATCATTACTACATCTGTAAAAAGTGGAGACGTCCTACTACGGTAGTTTTGCATCTTGGCATAAACCAAGTAATCACATGGGCCAAGCTTGCCAAATACTGGTACTGTAGATAGGTCGTCGTTTGCAGCAATTTACTCGTTGATCTTCTAAAGCGACTTCCTGGATTTCCTATTCCACGGGGACTGCTAGTAGACCACGACGAGAATCCTGTTACGCATGCTTACACTGTCTGGACAATTCACGTCGCGTGCAAACGCCTATGCCCCGATAATTTGATTCTTACTGACGGTAGTTCTACCCATCACTTCCTCATTTGGACTTGGAACCTTGGGTTTTGGCCCCAGTCGACCGAAATCATGAAGTAGTACCGGTAGTGATGCTGCCTGTCCTTCCTAACGAGAAATTCGCATCGACCACTCGTCATTCGATGTCGACTTCACTGGGTAGAGTTTACAAACAAGGACTAAACACTAAGGAAAAATGATAACGTTAGTGAGTTTACTCGAGAGTGCGATGAACTGCTTGCTGATATGAGCATTAAGCTGATGCTGGCACGAGTTGTTTGAATCGCTCGAAACGTGGTTTTTCTGCATTTTTGAAGTCGATTAAAAATGGCTTTGTGGAGTTCGTAAGGTGGCTGTCCTTACTTCTGATTATTTACCAATCATAGTGCATCATGGTTTCTTTGCCATATAATTGGCCAATACGATCATTTTCATCGACTCATAAATGCAGAAGTACTGTACCATGTTTCCAGCGACTCAAACAACTCGTGTGAATTTACATTTACAGTCCGCGAGGCCATCGAGGACGCTCTTTTTTACTAGTACTAGTATTTGGTAAATGTATCAAATCTGGAAGGTGAAGCCAGTTCAAAAACCCTTGCAAATCAATGACAAAAATCATCTATTATCACAGACAAGAGTCTGTCGTTCGGATTTGCAGTCCATCGAGATGGTGTGGGCCTGGGTTAAGGGCCGCGTCGGACGATAGTACTCCACGTGCACGACACTGACCGACGTACACCTGCGCCTTGACGCTGCCTTTAATGCGTTGCCGAGCTTGGTCATCTACAACTGCATTAAGCACACCGAGACAAAGGTAATGGCAATGTGCGAGTACCTGGAAGCACTTGACATGGCTGACGATGATGCTGGACACGCGTCATCCTCCTCAGCGACGTCGGAAAGTATGGGTAACGTTAGTGACAACGTGACAACGTGACAACGTGACAAATGTCCACACTGATGATAATGGTACGCGGCGTCCAGGCAACAATATGGCCACGTGTCGCGGGGTTTTACGACAAGTTTGATGGGTAGGCGCGGCGCAGGCAAACAAGGAGACTCAAACCCAAGTGTGGAGTTCGAGGCAAAATGTAAAGTCGAGTTAGTTAAAGGTGTGGTCGTGGCTGTAGTCCTAATGCTCTAAGTTCTACTGCATCGGCGGTTGATGGTTGAGGGATCTCCGACTTGGTAGATCTTCGACACCCGTATGACGGTCCGGGTCATCGATTTTGGGAGGTATATAAGGTCTGGGAGGTCTAGCCAGAACGGGAAAGGCAACCCGGTCTTCAGGAAGGTCAGAGGGTCGATCAGGGCCTCGTCTGGCTTCGCAGTCTCGGCAGGGTCATGGACTCCGCAGTCGCACCGTGACCCAATGGCCCGCCGGAGCAACGGAATCCATACTCAGGGTGCAACTGCTGGACCTGGGCTTGAGGGAGTG